ATCAGGAATTTACCATGATAGTTTCCAGGTAGAACCGCGAGGAGGTCGACCTGGTTGGATATATTGCTAGCAATGGGATTCTCAGTCTCCATTTCTAACAATCCTTTTCCCCCCATACTAACAATCCCGAGTAGGTTGTTGTACGTGTGTACCAAATTTCATTACAATTGATAGATCCGTTAAAATACCAACAAACAAACACACTGTCGCATTTATAATATTAGTAAGGATTTACATTATCATCCGTTTACAAATAACTCGATCAGTTTTATCACAACACCGCGACAAGTAGCTATAAAATGGGCGTTCAGCCGGCGGCTGTGGTGCGTTCATTCAGCTGCTGCAGCGCTGCGAACAGCGCACCGGCGCGGCAAAATTGCACGTAACACGATATTGTACCGTCGACACGGAATTGTTTTATGTACATTCGTGTGCAAATGTGGCTGCAAAGTTATGTCACGATTTTTTTTTATAATAAAAATAATATGCTTGTGACATGCTGGGTAGTCAGAGGTATTTGTCGATTGCTCGGTTATAGTGAACTTGACATAGCGACATAGCAAGAGGGAATCTACCACCATCACGGTACAAAAATCATCTATTTACTTCTGTCTCTCATTTATACGCAAGTGCAGGTGCTTGATGTTCTTATGTGTGATAAGAAAGAAAAAAGAAAGAAAGAAACTTTATTTTACAAAAATATACGACTACACCCACACAGAGGTAAAAAAATATTAAGAATTATAATAAAGAAACTACACAAAAAAAATATAAATAAAGGAAATAAAATTAAAAAAAAAAAACAATAAAATGATAAAACAATCTGTAGGTTGTATTTCTGTAGGTTTGTAATGTGTGCGTGTTTTTTTTTAAATAACCCGACATATGATGGTACAATAGAGGCTTGCAGAGGCAAAATTCTGTGCAGATTATCACAAGCCATAAAAAATCAATATTCTCGCTATGCTATCTTCATCATCACCGTATCACCCATTATTTGCCTACTGCCAAACATAGGCTTCTCCCATAAGGGGATTTTACCAGCAGTTGTCACGCTTTTCAACCGCTTGTTGTTGTTGTTAAAAAAGTTGGCAACCGCAGTTAGATTTTAGTGATGTTTTACACCCACGGGAAAGTTAACTCCGTTTCCCAAAAGCCACCCTATGAATCTTCTCATCAGTACAGTGGAATAAGTCAATTTGTAGTATGAAAGGAGCATTTATTAACTAATAGAAACGATTCTCGTATTACTAAAAATATTAACTATAGCATTTACTACGGCAGTTAATGCTGTTTTACCCCCCACCACCATCTGCTAGATTCAATTTTTACTTTTATTTATTTATTTACACTTTACTGTACACGCCAACACAAATATTACATAAACTATATGACGGAAGTTAGCAAATGTACAATGGCGGGCTTAACTCTCTCTTCCAGCAAACCCAAAGTGGATAGAAGAGTCAGTGTCAAAATTCAATCATTAAAATCAGCAATTTTTTCTTATCGGTTTAAGAATTATTTTATCTCCCAAGTTTTATTGTATTGTATTGTAAAATCTTTATTGTACATAATACTGAATTTTCTATTTCATTTTTATTTATTTATTTATTATTAATTTACAATGCAGTTTAGTTGTTTTGTTATCGGTATGCTAGAAAGCTGGCTGTTTTTGCACATACTGTTAATTAAAACAGTAACTTACATTTACAAAATGTGACTAAAATCGGTTGAGCAATTTCATAATTTACATATCCCATACTTTGTTATGCAATTGTTTAATGCAATTTTGTGCGCGACTGCCCCCAGTAATAAGGTAAAGGAATCATCGTAGCTTTGCTGTTTCAATTTCTACGTGTGGGCTCGAGTGCTTTCTAGTTGTCTACAATCAAAATTGTATGAAAAAGTTGTCTCGTTTTTCTCAAAGCATTTCTATGAAGACGTCTATCTATATAATCTAAGACTTTAGTCTATAAGAAAAAGTTTCGAAAAAAATACGCATTAAACGACGGGGTTGATTCTGAGATATCATTTTTCTAAGCCTGTCTCTAAAATTAAAGTCTCAATTATCTTTCACGGCATATATGTGTAGTGTGGTATATTTGTATGTATTTATGCGTATATATGTATATAAATAGGCGACGTGCTGAAGAAGGGCCAAATTAAAAGTACCCGTAACCGGCGAGCGTGTATGACAAGATTGATGAATGTAGAAGAAGCGAAAGAGGTTTGTTTGAATCGAAGCATTTGGCGTTCCATTGTTTCTGCCTACCCTAATGGGAGACAGGCATGACAGATATGTATGTATGTATGTATGTATATATATGTGTATGTATGTATATATATTTATATATGTATGTATATGTATATATTTGGATGTATGTGTTTATTTATCGTTATTGATCAAAAACGCAATGTATTATTATCGGTAGCCCTCATTATATATCAAAATTAAATTTAATTAATCTTCCACCAGTAGTTTTTAACGGTCAAGTAATTAAATATAGTACTAGTGTGAAAAATCTCGGAATACATTTTGATCAAACACTGACCTGGTCTTATCAAATATCTCAGTTAAGCCGTAAAATATTTGCTTCAATAGGTAGTCTCAATCGGCTGCGAAACTTTCTACCAGTCGGTACCAGGACTGCATTGGCACACTGTCTACTACTTCCTATTCTAGATTACGCTGATTCCTGTTATGTTAATCTTACAGAAGATCAATTAAATAAACTTGAGCGACTTCAGAACTCCTATCTCTTCTTTACACTATTCTTTTTCATCCTTCAACTCCCGATTACCTCAAAACGTGCTTTGAGTTTCATGTCGATTCTCAGGGTCGTACATTGCGCAGTGCGAGATCCCTTCGTTTAGTAACTCCTATTCATTCTTCTAAATTCTATTCCTATTCTTTCACTATCCAAGCTATCCGTCTCTGGAACTCCTTACCTCTTTCTATTAGATCAGCGCAATCTCTTGCCTCGTTCAAGAGGCAGGTAAAATCTCATTTCCTATCTCTCTAATTTGCTTTGACGTTTACTATGTGTGATTTATCTTGATCTATTTAGTATATTTATGTTTATGTATTATTATTTATATTATATATATGTATGTTTATGTATTATTATTTATATTATATATGTATGTTTATGTATTATTATTTTTATTATATATGTATGTTTATTTAGGTTATGTAATCTTATTTTTATATTTAGAATTTTTTGCATTTTGTCTGATTCCTTTTATGCATTTACTGTGTCTGATTTGCGCCATCTACCTTTCTCTCTGTACTTATCCATTCTTTATGCCAGGTTGTCTGTAAGAGATTGCTTGTAGCGATAAGGCCCCCTTTTGTATATGCACGTTCTGTATAAATACTCCTTGTATACATCTTTACTGTGCGCAATAAAGAGTTTATTATTATTTACATTGAATTGCTTATTTCTCAGCTTTTAGCGCTGGTAATTATACTACACTTACGGGTACGTGACCAAGTAAGTGCAGTGTGTATGTTTGAATGGAAGGTTATGTTTGTGTATGTCGGGTGGCTACTTCATCCTCATCTATATCTAAGAATTTTCTAACTATTCTGCAAGTATTTAATATAACAGCCTTTTGTAGGGAGATGTAGAGATTTTTTCGTAGACCTATTTGTTTTAGACTATGGTGTAAATGGTTGGGAATGACACCTGTAGATGAAAGGACTATCGGGACTATGTAAACTTTTTCCTGTTTCCAGATTCTTGTGACTTCATCTTTAAGTTCAGCGTATTTGTTAATCTTCTCAGCTATTGTTTTTTGGAGATTGTGTGTATTGGGTATTGCGATATCAATAAGGTAAGTTATTTTATTTATTTTGTCTTGTAGGGTAATATCCGGTCTATTATAATGGATGGTCCTGTCGGTAAGTATGGCTCGATCATAATATACTTTACATGTTAAATTTTCCAGCACGGTTTGTGGGGTATATTTATAATATGGAGTGTTTGTGTCTTCAATAAGCTTGTGTTTCTGTGCTAGGGTTTGGTGAATGATGTTGACTATCTGATTATGTCGGTGTGTGTAATCAGTTTGTGTAAGACTTACACATGCCCCTGTTATATGTTGAATTGTTTCAGGCTGAATATGGCATTTGCGACACTTATCATTAGATATGGTTGGATCTTTAATAATAAATTTTCTGTAATTTTTGGTGTTTATGATTTGATCTTGTATTGCAATTAAGAACCCTTCTGTTTCTGGGAATAAATTGCCTATTTTCAGCCATTGATTCGATGCCGTTTTGTCTATATGTGTTTGTTCTAGATCATGAGGGTGCCTTCCATGTAGTGTTTTTTTCTTCCAATTTTCTATTTTTTGATTTTGCAGTTCACTAATTGTAGAAATTTCTGTATTTGTTTGATTATTTAGGTTTAGGGGAGTGTAATTTTGGTCATTTTGGACGATTGCTTTGTGTAAAGTACTAGTGTTAGATTTTGAACGAAAGAAGGTTCTTAGTCCTGTTATTTGTTTTTGCCACATGTGACTTATATCTATTAGACCTCTGCCTCCGTTCTGTCGTTTAATAGTAAGTCTTTCTATAGCAGATTTAGGATGCAAGTTGTTATGTTTCGTAAGTATGGTTCGAGTAGTTCTTTCTATTAGTTCTATATCAGTTTTTGACCACCTTATAATGCCAAAAGAGTATATTAAGATCGGAATAGCATAGGTGTTAAAGGCTTTTATAAGATTTTTGCTAGAAAGTTGGGATTTGCATATTGAGTTTATACGTTTTCTATACTCTGTTATTAACTGCTGTTTTATCGAAGTGTGATCAAGACCTTTTAACTGGTTATACCCTAAATACCTATATACTTCGTTTGGCTCTAAAGCTGTAATTGTATTGTTATCATCGATTGTGTAGTTGCCGAGTTGTACCTTACCTCTAATAATATGTACTATTTTACACTTTTCTAGTCCAAATTTCATGTTAATATCTTTACTAAAATTTGTAGTGACTTCTAAAAAAGCTTTTTCATTTCTTTATCTGTTTTAGCATATAATTTTATATCGTCAACATATATGAGATGTGAGATAATTGTTTGTTGGGCGGTGTTTTGTAGAGGATATCCAACTCGGCAACGATGCAGTAAGTGAGATAGGGGGTTTAGTGCTAAGCAAAACCACAATGGACTCAATGAATCGCCTTGATAAATGCCTTTCTTGATAATTATCTGTCGCGTTTTAATTATTTTTTTATTAGTGCTTAATTGTAGTGTAGTTTTCCACAGTGGCATTATGTTACGTAAAAAGTCTATTATTTTGGAGTTTATTTTATAAATCTGTAATATTTTTAATAACCAAGAATGTGGAAGACTATCAAAGGCTTTCTGGTAATCAATATAGGTACAGTGTAGATTTCTGGTTTTTATTTTAGCATGTTTATGGATAGTAGAATCTATAACTAATTGTTCCTTGCATCCCATGTGGCCCCGCCTGCATCCCTTCTGTTCCTCTGCTATTATATTATGGTGTTCTATATGTGCGTTGATTTTAGTTGCGATTGCTGACGTCAGAATTTTATATATCGTTGTTAAGCATGTGATTGGCCTGTATTTGGATGGTTCTGAGGAAAATTTTGTTTTTGGTAGCATGTAAGTTATTCCTATTGCAATAAATTCAGGTATATCCTGTTTACCTAATATAACGTCTGTTAGATTTTTTGCTAAAGCTTTGTGTAACGATATTAATTTTTTATACCAAAAGTTATGTATTTTGTCTATACCAGGTGATTTCCAATTATGAAGTTTTCTCGTAATGTCTGCGATATCAATCTCTTTTATTTCATTAAACTCCATTTCTTCAATAGTATTCCACATTTTCTTTTCTTCCTCTATCCAATCAGCTTTGTCATTGTAGTGTATTTGTTCTTCCCAAATGTTAGACCAAAATGTTTCTAATTGCGTTTGTGTTGGTAATTCTAAGTTTTCTTCAGCAATCATGTTAGTTTCTAATTTATGCAAGTTTTTATAAAATAATTTTTCGTTAGTTTCAAACATTATGTTGTCCCTTTTCCTTTGCATTGCTTTCTTATATCTCCTGAGTCGATGAACTTTCAGTGCTAGAGTCTGTTTGAGGGTGTCTAAAAATTCTTCAGGCTTTCTGTTCTGATTTTCATGTCTTGTGTGTGTTGTTCTACTCTTGAAAATTGCTTCAACTCTTTTAATAATTTTATTTGATCTATTGTTATTAATATATTGAGTCAGTCTGCCGCAGTCTGCTCTTAATTTATTTATATCTTTTTCTAGTCTTATTTGCCACGATGGTTTCTTAATACACATGTTTTTTATCTTTCCCCCGTATTCCTTTACTTTGTAACCAAGTTCTTCAGATATAACCAAGGCTGTGCAATATACTAGGGTATGTAGGTCTGTTAGTTGCATATCCTCTGATATAAATTGGTTCAATAGTTTATTGTTAAATAGATCTATTAACTGAGTAAGTTTAGGACTGTATCTAAGTTTAGGCAGTTTTGGTCTTACTGAGGGGTCCATTCCAGAATACTGGATTAACGCTGTCTTTATCGATTATTTCTTGAGCCTGGTTTTCAATATTAGGAATACTCTCAACCAAGGTGTCAACGTCGTTTTCTATTGTTAAAGTTACAGTTTCTGTTTGTGTAGATGTATGTGAAATTTGTGTGTTCTGTGAATATGATTTTAAAAATGTTGATAGTTGCGAATGTGAGATTGTTTCAGTCTGGATATTTGTTAAAGTAGTAAAATTCGTACTTATACTATTAGTCTCTATCTCTTCCTGAAGTTTTGTTCGTGCTTCTTCTTTCAACAGATTAAGCTCCTCTTCGGTTAAAAGTTTGTTTCTAATAATTGCTCTTCTTTGATCAGAAATTCTTTGCTCTGTTACTTTTATCTCGGGATATTGTCGTGAAAAGTGTTCATGTAGTTGTTTGCGATATGTTGTCATGTCAGATTCTAATTTGGTGATAATATAATAAGTACGCATGATGAATGTGTTTACGTCTTTGTTCCATCTCATACGTATTCTAGGTTTTCCAGCCCTAGTGGACGCAGGTAAAAAGGCATTTGCCTCCTGCGCAACATCTAAGGTTGGGGTCAGACTGTTTCTAATTCTATTAATTGTAGAAGATGGTGTTTGAACATTTATTATATCGGCTGTAGTGTTTTGTGTGGTGAGAGCCCGCCTGTTCAACTCTTCACTGCTGACGGTTCGCATGCTGTGACGTCCAGCGTCAGCTCCAGACGTGCCCTGGCGATCACCCCCAGGAAGCGGCCCTTTACGACATCTTCTAATCGGTCTCTCCATATTAAATGGGTTACCTTTGCCATGTTAGCCGTGCCAGTTATATAAAAATCACGTGTCCGCCCCCCACGTGGATCAGGTGGTCGATCCGGACGTATGGTTGGACTTTAGGGGGCTTATTATTATTATTATTATTTTTTAATTTTACCAAAATTCTCATCTCCCCTCTTAAGGAGAGGAGATGGCAACTAACCCCCGGCAGAAGCACAGTCGGCCGGGGTTCAGGGCCCCAGGGAGAGAAACCGGCGTACAATGCGGGCAGAATCTAAGAGCACCGCTTTCTGCATCTTTCCCGGGAGTGAGCCGCCTCGGAATCCCAACCGTCTGAGATGTTGTTCCAGACTGGTTGGGATAAGACCGTTCACCGACATAACGATTGGGATGATTTCGGTAGATGTCACCCCCCACATTTCGGTCACCTCGTGAGCCAGGTCGAGATATTTTCTCTTCTTCTCGGTTTCGGCTTTCACGAGGTTCTCGTCATGCGGTATGGTGACATCCACCAAAAACACCCTCGAAAGTGCCCGATCCATCACCACGATATCAGGTTTGTTCGCAAGAACAGTCCTGTCCGTGATGATGGATCGGTCCCAGTAGAGCCTTACGCTGTCGCTTTCGAGGACCGGCTGGGGCTCGTACTTATAGTACGGCAACCTCTCATTCGCGAGGCCGTACTTCAGAGCTAGCTCTTGATGGAGTATTTTGGCTACCTGGTTGTGTCTGTGCAAGTACTCAGTGTTGGCAAGAGCTGAACAACCCGAAAGCACATGTCTGAGTGACTCTCCGGGATGGCGACATGCCCGACAGATGTCCTCAGTGCCATCCTTCAGAATGTGCTTTCGGTAATTGTTCGTCTTAACCACCTGATCCTGTATTGCACAGACAAAACCCTCGGTCTCTCCGAAGAGATCACCGAACTGTAGCCAGTGCACGGAGGTCTTCGTGTTTACGTACGGCCCGTGAAGGGCTTTGAAGAACCTTCCGTGCAACTCCTTCTCTTTCCATACGGCCTCCCGCTGAGAGGTACCCAAAACTTCGGGTTTTCGCCAGTCCTCTTTAGCCAGAGAAAGAGGGGTGAATCCTTTGTCACATTCTATGACCTCTCTATGCAAACCCTCGTCTATTTTCTCCAGAAAATATGTCCTGAGGCTGTCAACCTCGCGGTTGTGCATGGTCTTAACACTTAACAAGCTTCGACCACCAGCCTTCCGCGGGATATACAGCCTCATGACTGACGATTTCGGGTGATGCATTCTATGGAGGGTCATAGTTGTGCGGACTTTCCGATCCAGGGCTTCGAGATCGGTTTGAGACCATCTGAGCACGCCAAAAGTGTAAAGGAGTACGGGTATGACCCAGCCGTTATAAGCTCGGATTTTATTGGAGCCCGACAAAGAACTTTTCAGTACTCTTGTAAGGCGCGCAAAAAATTCCTCGCGGACTGACTGTTTCATATCCGTTTCCTTCACACCGATGTTTTGTGACATGCCCAGATACCGGTATGTTTCAGCCTCGGAGAGGGTTTTAATATTAGAGGGATCTGTGGCGATCCCTTCAGTTTGAGTGACCCGTCCCCTCTGCACATGGAGGACTGCGCACTTGTCTATTCCGAGCGCCATCCTAATAGAGCTGCTATAATCGTTTACGATATTTAGCAGCTCCGTCAGGCGTTCGACGCTCGGAGCTAGCAGTTTCAAGTCATCCATGTACAGAAGGTGAGACACTCGTGTACCTCCTCTCCGATACTGAAATCCAGTCCCCGAATTCTCCAGTAAAGTACTGAGTGGATTCAGGGACAGGCAAAACCAAAGTGGACTCAAACAATCGCCCTGGAATATTCCCCTCTTTATCTCTATACGGTCAGCGGTATCCGTCAATCGCTCGCCCTGGATAGTCAGGATCGTCGTCCACTGCCCCATGCATGCCTCCAAGAACACTCGAACTGTACCGTCGATCTTGTACAGCTCGAGTATCCTCCGGAGCCATGAATGGGGCACGGAATCGAACGCCTTTTTATAATCTATCCAGGCGGCGGAGAAATTCCGACGGTTCCGCTTGACCACGTGGCCAGCGACAGCATCAATGAGGAGCAGCTCCTTCGATCCGCGGCTACCGCCCCTGCATCCGTTCTGAGCGCTAGATAGGATCTTATTCTCGTACACATGACGAGAGATCTTAGCGCTCAGAACGGATGTTAACGTCTTATATATTGTCGTAAGACAAGTGATGGGGCGATATTTAGATGGATCCGCGGTATCGTCCGTCTTAGGAGCTAAATGAGTGATCCCGGTTGTAAGGAAGTTCGGGAGCGTCCTGTTTTCGAGGGCACTCTGGAATTGCACGGCTAAGGTCGCATGGCTGGCCGAGAACGCCTTTAACCAGTAGTGCTGCAATCCGTCGATCCCCGGACTTTTCCAGTTCGGAGCCCGACGGATCGCGGCAACCACGTCTTCCTCCGTAATGGCAATGGCGTTCATCGGCGTTATTCGAGCACATGCTTCCTCAACATCGTGCATCCATGCGCCCTCCTCATGTTCCACAGGTTCAGACCACAGCTGTCTCCAGAAGGCGACGAAATTGGCTGTTTCGGGTCTTTGTCCTGTGGGCTGTAGTTTTGGGCGCTCCAAGTTCCTATAAAACTTCCGTTGATCACTCATAAAGAGGCGATTCTGTTGATACCTCTCAACCCTCTCAGAGTACCGTCGGAGTCGCTTCCCCCATGCAGCGATCTTCTGCTTCAGTTCATCTATGCGCTCCGTAAGTTTGTGCTCGAAGTCCGGCTGGAACAGACGTACACCTGTCCCAGCAAAGGCCTCTTTTACGGAGCGCATAATTCTCGGGCGTGTGTTGCCCTCCCTGAAGCAGAGCAGTCTACCAATGAGGACTCTGGCCTGGGCGATCCGTCTTTCAATCCTTCTTTTCCAGGCTGGTTTCATATTATCCCTTTGGATATTACGTCCAGCCCGGGGCATTTTTGCGCCGGTATATCGGCATACTGCCAACGCAGCGCCAAACAGGATTGAACTCGTCTCTCCCAGGTCACCGCTGCCCTCAAGGTACTGAGGCAGCAGTCCATTTGTGGCCTCAATGGCATCCCGCGTCGCCACATTTAGATATATCCGGGGAAGCTTCGGTCTCTCTTCGAGGGGAGTTCTTCGGATCTCTAGAATCGCCTCGTCTAGTATGCTCCTCATATGCTCTATATTATTATTATTATTATTATTATAACATTTATTAATTAACATATCATAAAGGTTATTTTTAAAAGCACTTGTCTCAGTTAAATCTCGTATACGTTTTGGTAATTTATTATAAATTATTATAGCTTTAAAACACCGAACCGAACTAGATCATAGTCCAAAAATTGGTAGAAAAGTTCTGGGCCCTGCCAAGAGTTTCGTTCGAAGTTTTGTTGAAATTTAAACTTAATGCAGTCAAGTATATGCCGTGTGGTCCCAGCATATAATAGGCTACCCCTTCCTTTCGGGGGGAAGGGATTGTTAATAATGGGATCTAACAGCTCCATTACTAACAATATTATCAAGTCGACCTCCACGTGGTTCCCCCTGGAAACCATCGTGCTTAATTCTTTTGAAATTCATCACGATGGACTAACTGACCTGCTTTCATCCTCACCTGTCATCCCTCACTGGTGCCCGGCCAGCGTATACCGATAGCGCAGGCAAGGTAACCATTCCATTATCATCCATAAAAAAACCCTTGCTTTTCCGACTTAGGGAATTTAATGATCGCGGAGTAGACAGTAGCGTCTGTCTTAAAATACCGCCAAAGCCTAAACTGCGGTTGCTGACCTGCTTGACAAACGTGGCAATTCCTGACAATATCCCCCCAAGGGGAGGCCTGTCGTGAGCAGTAGACAGTTAACGGCTGATATGACGGTGATGACTGTTAAGTAAATATACGTATGTACATTATCATATTAAATAAATTTCTAATTAATATATTTAAGATTTTTTTTTATTCACTTAGAATGGCAAACGTGCAGATGGCCCACCTGATTGAATACGTCGAAAACGTTACGTTATGTTAAAGATGCCGCATCTATATTTTTTCTCGACTCTTGGGAAAATAGATTAGCTCGCGAAATTAGTTTTCGGGATTGGACAGATGCGTGCCAATGACTGTTATATATATATATATATATATTATTTACAAAAGAGACACCAACAATATGTACACAATAATTAAACAGCCTATGTACAATGTAACATGTATAAGTAAGTAACAAAAAATGACTATTCAAAAATTAAAACTAAGTTTACTTGAATGTTAGTTTGATAGCAATGGGGACTATTTTTCCATCTCCTCATGCCGTATATGGTGGCCCAGCATTTTGCCTCTTTTATTCTCTATTGTTTTTTTTTAATATAAGAACATTAAAATATTTCGGTTATACGTTTTGATTTCGAGTCTGCGTACGAACGTTCAATTTAAATGTTTAAACATATATATAACAACATTTGAACTCACGTTAAATCCGACTATGAATACTGGATGAATAATAGGGGAGCAGGTTTATATTTTTAAATGACTAAAATTCTTTTTATATGAATATTGCAGAACGCTGAACTCCACTAAAACTGTCACTGAAATTAGATTTTGAATGCAAAGCTACTATGTTGAATGCTTATTTAAAATGAAAAATAATATGGCAATCCATTATATAGAAGACTAGCGGCCCGTCTCGGCTTCGCACGGATGAACATTTTTACAACATTTTAAAAAGTGATTATTGTGACATAACGATAATAGTTGGACATATAGTATCGCGAAGTTTTTTATAGTTATTGATATTTTCTACAATATTGTAGAACATACTTTTGTTTTATCACCAATAGTTTCCGCAGTGCACGCGGCGAAAGATATTTTATAGCATTTTTTTACACCTTGAGTTACGTTACTAAAGTTTTAGTGAGGATCCCCAAACTTTTCTAGCAATAAACATAGCCTATGATACTCAGGGTGAATGTAGCTTTCTAATGGTGAAAGAATTTTTGAAATCGGCAAAGTAGTTTTCGTATTTGTTATATACAGTGTGGTTTCGACATAGAATAGGCCACCAGATTCTTTCCCGTGGATGTTG